GGAAGTTTAGAAGCGGGTCTGGGGAAGAGCTCGCAGTACTCCAAGGGGAAGGAGAGGCGAGGCCGGGTCACTCTGCTCATCACCAGAGGCTGGCATGCTGCCTTTCTAACAGGACCATGCAGCACCCAGCCCTCAGTCCTCACAATCACTAGACAGCAGCTGCTGAGCGGATGGAGCCTGCACCCGCCCAGTTTAGCCAAAGAAGCCCGTATACTCTCCGTCAAAAAGACTTCCTTCCAGAAGCTGTTGTGTTTAATAAAAAGGTCTCCAAAAAAAATAACCCACAAAACCATTCACACTAAAGATCATTCTTGAGTGTGATTTGAAAACTAGGGTCCAGTTCTGCAGAGGCAACAAGTGGCCAGGGCCTCGGATGCTTCACAGCCAGATCCAGAGGTCCCGTCCATCATGCCAGGGAAAATGTTGCACTCACCACACCTCAGGTTCTGCTTCTGGTTTCAGAGTTCTCTCTGCATTGGAGGGGTTTTAAAGCTAGAGTGGCCTTCACCCACTTACTCTTATTCACAGATCTGAATATAGAGATCAAGAGCGGATAGTGCCATGTCCTAATCAGGGTAAACAAGAAAACAATGACTGAACTTCTAGTGTATAAGGGGCACTTTCAGAGCTCCTGAGGATACAGAGATGAAAAAAACATAGTCCCTTCTTCAAGGAGTTCAGTCTAGCAAGGTAGACAGCCTCTTCTTTGTAGGCAGGACCGGGCTTTCCTGAGAAGATCATGCATGGACACACGGCTGTGGCATGGCCACTTTGACCCTCTAGCTATGCTGTAAGGCCAGGTGGGACCTGGAGTGGCCTGAGCTGGTGGCTGCCATGAGCGTTTTCCAGTCTTCCAAGGCACTGAGTAAGTAATGTGACTTTCTGTTTGCACAGCAAAATCAGGCACACAGTTTTCTAGTACATGGGATGCCTTCCTCCCCCAGCACAACGGATGGTCTCCCCTGGTTGGCGGGCCCTTGTTAGAAGTGGAACATGCTGCAGGGCTCCAAGCAGGCAATTGTGGCCCACATGTCAGTGGAGAACGGAGGCAGAACTGTGGAGCCCTCGAGAGCCATGGATGGCCTGCTGCCCACCATGAAATGCCTCCTCAGCTGCTGCTGGCCCACTTCTGGGCAGCAGTAATTAGTGATGTACAGAATCCTGGGACCCATGTCAGCAACCCTAGGGACACCCTGAGTCAGCCGGGTATGCACTGCTGTGATGGCCTCCCTGGTCAGGAGATGAGACACAGTGAGAAGGAGGGAAGAACTGGTCAAAGGGCTTCAGTCCGAGGTGAGATCCGCAGAAAAACCAGTGCCAAAATGTAGCCAGCAGCCCCTGCCAGTGGTAGCTTTGTGGAATCTATGCTGGGGCCAGTCCTTGATTGCTCCAAACTCTCTGCTTCAAGATGCTAAAGGACATAAACAGAGGTCTTCTAGTCAGGACCTAGGTGAGCTTCTGAAAAAAGCATGAAAAAAGTGGCCTCCTGAACCTCCCCAAGTGACTGATAGGAAGCATGTCCCACACGCCACACAGCATGGAGATCTTCAGGTGCAAACTAACGAGTATATGAATGACAGCATGGACCACTGGCAACCCGCAGAGCTGCCCGACCAAGAAGCTGTGAGATAGGAGCAAAGAAGAAAGAAAAAAAAGGCAAGAAGGCCACGGCAGGAATAAAACAGGCCACGAATGCTGGAGTGAGGCAAGTGACCTCCCTGGCCTCCGCTCTGCTGAGCACCCTGCACCTGCTCCAGGGCTCAAGAGATCACAATGAAAACGAGGACTTGGCAGTGGAGAAGGGAACTGGGAAGCAGAACAGAGTGGTTCCCTCAGCATCGTGGCTGCATGTCCCTCTGAAAGCGTAGATGATAATGGTGACATCCGTATTTCTTTGGAATTTCCAGAGGGAAATACTGGTGATCTGGACATGCAATCCTGGGAAGAAATCCAAAGGAGTATAGAACTCAGCCCAAGTCCAAGGTCTGCTCAGCGAGCAGGCCTTTCTGTGGGGTGCAAGGGCACAGCTGCAGGGGACCTTCCGAAGCTGCAGCCGCTGCTTCCCACTCTGCCTGAACTGCCCTGAAAACACTTGAAGGAGCCTCAGGGGGAGTCCATGGAGAAGGATGTCTACTGCTTGGACCTCAAACAGAGACTCCGTAAAGTGCAGGAAAACAGGAACTGCATTTGTCACACCTGCAAGCTCTATGAAAAGATGTGTCCCAAGACTCCGCCCAGGAATTGGAGAATGACAGTTTTCAGAGAGAGATCCTCTTCTGTGAGAAATCAGCCTGGGAAGACTGGATGGCCGCTGCAAGCTCTGTGAAGAGATGTGTCCCAAGACTTTGCCCAGGAATTGGAGAATGACAGTTTTCAGAGAGAGATCCTCTTCTGTGAGAAATCAGCCTGAGAAGATCGGATGGCTGCTCCAAGCTCTGTGAAAAGATGTGTCCCAAGACTTTGCCCAGGAATTGGAGAATGACAGTTTTCAGAGAGAGATCCTCTTCTGTGAGAAATCAGCCTGAGAAGATCGGATGGCCGCTGCAAGCTCTGTGAAAAGATGTGTCCCAAGACTTTGCCCAGGAATTGGAGAATGACACAGTTTTCAGAGAGAGATCCTCTTCTGTGAAAAATCAGCCTGGGAAGACTGGATGGCCGCTGCAAGCTCTGTGAAGAGATGTGTCCCAAGACTTTGCCCAGGAATTGGAGAATGACAGTTTTCAGAGAGAGATCCTCTTCTGTGAGAAATCAGCCTGAGAAGATCGGATGGCCGCTGCAAGCTCTGTGAAAAGATGTGTCCCAAGACTTTGCCCAGGAATTGGAGAATGACAGTTTTCAGAGAGAGATCCTCTTCTGTGAGAAATCAGCCTGGGAAGACTGAATGGCCGCCACGTCCACTGAGATAGCAAGAGCTCTGGAAATAAGATGACCATAATAGGCAGAAGCTGGCTGACTGCGAGGCCAACTTCCATCCTTTTCTGAGCGGTCCTTTGTCTCCTGGAGTTCCACCTGCAGCCCACAGGGGCCTGGAAGTGCCAGAGGGTCTGTGGGCCACCAGGGTCCCCAGGGAGGAGGCGGATCATAATGGGAGGGCTTGGCTGCAGGACACCTGCTGGTTTGATTCTGTTTTCCTTATAGCTGGGCCCTGAACACCCAGAGACTTGAACATCAGTGATGCTACTCCCTTTAAAACACTTTTGACTGCTCTCTGGTTTAGCTACTGTTCATTAGTTGATGCTGAAATTGTTCTTACTGAAGTTTGATTGATAGCCTTAGACTATAAGGTACAGATAAAGATTGCGTAATATAAAATTTTTTTTAAAGTGAAAGGACCCTTGAGGTGCTGGAAACCTGAAAGAAAAAAAGTGGCGGGGGGTGGGGGAGGGGAGAAAAGAAACTGAATCCTTGCAGGTTCACCAAGAAGTGAAAATCATATACAATCCCATCACCCAGAGACAACCATAATTGCCTTTTGTTTTCTACCAATTTAAATTTTTCTATTCTTATTAGATGTGTACAGTTTTATATCAATGTGATTCTATCATATGGTTGTTTAATAGCCTGCTTTTGGTCACTTTAATATTGTTGATTTGTAAATATTATTAATGCTGTGAATACCTTTGCACTCGATGAGTATTATTATTATTATTTTGAGACGAAGTCTCACTCGTTGCCCAGGCTGGAGTGCAGTGGCACAATCTTGGCTCACTGCAACCTCCACCTCCTGTGTTTAAGCAATTCTCCTGCCTCAGCTTCCTGAGTAGCTGGGATTACAGGTGCCTGCCACCACACTTGGCTAATTTTTTATATTTTTGTAGAGATGAGGTTTCATCATATTGGCCAGGCTGGTCTGGCTTGGGTCTGTAGACCCAAGGCCAGAGTTTGAGTCTTCCCAAGTCCCATAAAGGTCCTTTATTATTTCCCTTGCTGGACTCTCACCTTCAAATCCATAGTACTTGATGTACATCCATATGTACATCCATACATCAAGTACATATAATATATCCTTCTTAAACAAAGTATGAAACTGTTTTTCTCATCTCCCATCTCCTTCAATGAGTCCTCTATGTTGTTAAAATTATCTAAAACGCAAATATGATTATGTTACTTTCCTCTTAAGAACTGCTGTAGCTGGGCACAACAGCTCATAGTACTTTGGGAGACCAAGGCAGGAGGATTGCTTGAGTCCAGGAGTTTAAGACCAGCCTGGGCAACAACGCGAGACCCTGTCTCTAGCTTAAAAAAAAAAAAAAAGAATTGTTCCTAGTGTCTCTTTGCCTATAGCAGGATTTCTCAATCTCGGTACTACCGACACATGGCCCGGATAATTCTCTGATGGGGAGGCTGTCCTGGGCATTGCAGGATGATCAGCAGCATCCTTCACTTCAGCACTTTCCTCCCACCTTCCCGTGGTGAAGACAAACAACTATGTCTCTAGACTTTGACAGATATTCTCTAGGAGGCAAAACTGCCGCTGTTGAGAACCACTGGCCTACAAGAAAAAGTCAAAACTTAGTTATCATGTCATTCATGACCTGGTCCTAGACCACCTTTCTCACCTCTCCTGTACCTCCGGGAAGGCGCCGTGTACCTTAGCATGGTGTCGTTCCACGTCCTCCGCTCTCAGCACTTCCTTAGTTAGGCGGACCAACTGCTGCAACCCATAGACAAACGGGCGTTGGCTCAGACAACCGGTTTTTTGCTCACCTAACAGCGTTCTGTGGCTGAACGTGCTGATGAAACGGCTCCCACTCCCCAGTCTTTGAGCAGTTAAGTGGGGCCCAAGGCTCTACCATCTTCAAATATGGCTTCCAAGATGTCCTTAGGGATCATCTCCATTTTACTTAATGAAAGGAGAAAGGACACGGAGAAGTGCATGAAGGAGAATATTATGGCCAGGATTGAAAAAGCTACACATCCCTTGGCATCTCGTTCTAATTGGTTAGAACTCAGTCACATGCCCACACTTAACGGCAAAACAACGGCTGGAAAACAGCTTAGCTGCGTGTGCTTAGAAGGGAGAGCAGAAGGCCGGGCGCGGTGGCTCAAGCCTGTAATCCCAGCACTTTGGGAGGCCGAGGCGGGTGGATCATGAGGTCAACAGATCGAGACCATCCTGGTCAACATGGTGAAACCCCGTCTCTACTAAAAATACAAAAAATTAGCTGGGCACGGTGGCGCGTGCCTGTAATCCCAGCTACTCAGGAGGCTGAGGCAGGAGAATTGCCTGAACCCAGGGGGCGGAGGTTGCGGTGAGCCGAGATCGCGCCATTGCACTCCAGCCTGGGTAACAAGAGCGAAACTCCGTCTCAAAAAAAAAAAAAAGAAGGGAGAGCAGAACAGGCATTTTCCTAATCAGCCAGGCCAGTACTCTCTTCCACAGTCTATTAGTTCAGCAAAATTATCGTTATTCTTTCAGGCCTAGCTTTCATGTCGCCCCTAGAATTATAAATTCCAGTGTCCCCATGATGACCTATTTTATGTTCTTTGCTTATACTAGTGTGTATTGTGATATGGTTAGTTATAGCACAAAAATCATTTTTTTCCGGCCAGGCGCCTGTAATCCCAGCACTTTGGGAGGCCAAGGCGGGTGGATCACGTGGTCAAGAGATCGAGACCATCCTGGTCAACATGGTGAAGCCCCATCTCTACTAAAATTACAAAAAATTAGCTGGGCATGGTGGCGCGTGCCAGTAATCCCAGCTACTCAGGAGGCTGAGGCAGGAGAATTGCCTGAACTCAGGAGACGGAGGTTGCGGTGAGCCGAGATGGTGCCATTGCAATCCAGCCTGGGTAACAAGAGTGAAACTCCATCTCAAAAAAAAGAAAAATTATTTTTTCCTCATCAATTTCTGGACAGTTCCTAATAGGTGGTGGATATACTTTTGTGAGGGGGAAAAAGAAATCAATGAATAGTATTTAATGATATATTTAATATTATTTCATTAGAATGCCTCAAGGACACACTGAATTTTATTGTCGTTACTGTTATTTTTCCAGTCTCTGGTCTAAGCACCTGCAGTAACACAAAAGTGAGCCAGAATTATCTGCATTTTCGGGCAGGATTCTAGCATCATCTGAGCCCTAGGAGAAAGGGGATGAAGTTCCTTTTAGAGACCTCCTTTCCCAGGCTCCCCAAGCCTCCGACATCTGCCCTGCGGGCTATCCACAGATTCGCTTTCCACTGGCTTTCCATACCCTCCACTTCCCTTCCCAGCCCAGGTCCCTGTGGGCTCCGTGGTGACTTAATCCTCCCACCGACGATTTGCATTTAAAAGGGGGTGAGTGAGGAATCACTGGCTGGTTAGTTATATTGGGAAAGAACTAGGGATTCTGGTTTTAAAAAAGGGCTAAAATGTTGCAGTTGTTTTTTCAAAAATCTACATTTGCAGGGTCTGGTGTGGTGGCCCATGGGCATAATCTGAGCACTTCGGGAGGCTGAGGTGTGGGGATCGCTTGAGCCCAGGAGATCAAGGTTGCAGTGAGCTGTGACGCTGCCACTGCACTCCTGCCTGGGTGACAGAGTGAGACCCTGTCTTGAAATAAATAAATAATAAATCCAAAACCCTACATTTGCAATTTAGCATTTCCCTAGGAAACAAAAGTAATTAGACAGAAAGTCTGCAATGTATAAATTCTGTAAAATTTGTAAAAAAAAAAAAAAAAAGGGTTTGGGTGCAGTGGCTTGTATCTGTAATCCCAGTGCATTTGGAGGCTGAGATGGATCAACTGAGGCCAGGAGTTCAAGAACTGCCTGGGCAATATAGTGAGACCCTCATCTCTACAATACATACAGAAAAAAATCACCTGGGCATGGTGGTATTCAGGAGGTTGAGGCGAGAGGATCACTTGAGCCCAAGAGTTAGAGACTGCAGTGAGCTATGATTACACCACTGCACTCCAGCCTGGGGAACAGAGCAAGACCCTATCTCTGGAAACAAACAAAAAAGGCAGTGGGGAGAGGGGAATTTTGTACCTTAGAAATGAATAATCTTCTTTGGAACTCTGGCTATATCTATCACTGCCAAGGTAAACAGGGATAAGGCCAGGATGTGACTTTGATGCCTGGTGTTCTTATTAACCAAAATGGAGTAAGGATGAAAGTACTTTTGCAGCAAATGTTCAGGGGATTTGAGCACCCATTTAAGGCTGTAACCAAGCCAGAATTTCCTTTTTGAGGCCGGGCAGAATCTGGTCCAAAAATCATGAACGACAGGAATGTTTCTGGTAATTTTTCTCAAATCCACCAGAGGGTTCCCCCTGAATTTTCTGACAAACTTAGCCTATACACTGCATCTACAAGACAAGGGAGCATTTATGTAAAGTATTTTCCCCCACTTAGTTACTTTGACAATTCCAACCCTCACTTTTTCCTCTGCTCGGATCGACATCTGAGAAGCGAGACCACAACTGCATTCCATTGTATAGATCAGCCTGATTAAAACCAGTTCTCCCTATAGGTCACATCATGTACGAGACACACGGTTTTTGTCAAGAGACCAGCTACCAGCAGAGAAGGTTTTGATGCTATTGCTAGTAAGAAATTAGTAACTAGATCCCTGGTCTCCTTCATGCCAACTTTATAATTATACTGTTTCAGTGGTAAACCAGATCTTTGCGCCAAGGGTAATTTAGAAATTCTAGAACTGTATTCTCTCCCCCTCCTCCTCTAATGTTCATCTTTACTGCCTCTCCATCTTCTTCCTTCAAACATATAATTTTCTTCCACTCCCTCCTCACCCTGGCTCCTTGTTTCTGTGACCCTCTGTCACAAAAGGACAAATGCATCTTGTTCTCCCTCATCCTGGGACATCATGGGCAACAATCAAGGAAGTGTATGCACAAATCTAATTCAGGAACGTGTCGTGGCTCTGCAAGGGCATTGCCCATGTGGGCTCATTGCTGGCCTCTGGGACTGGAGGTTCACATACGGCCTCATAGTGAGCTTGGGCTGCCCATGTATCTGCATCCAGGAGTTAGCCTCTCTTTTCTAAGCTCCACACAGGAAACTACTGTCTAGAATTTTTGAACTCCTCTTGATGGTGTAACCTTTTTGTACTCTGAGCTCTTTTGCTATGGAAACATTTGTTGTGCCAAATGCAGTGGCTCATGCCTGTTATCATAGCACTTAAGGAAGCTGAGGTTGGAGGGTCAGTTGAGCCCAGCCTGGGCAACACAGTGAGACTCCATCTCTACAAAAAATTAAAAAAAATTAGCAGGTTTGGTGGTATGCGTCTGTAGTCCCAGCTATGTGGGAGGATTGCTGGAGCCAGATGGTTGAGGCCGCAGTGAGCTCTGATTGTGCCACTGCATGCCAGTCAGGGCAACAGAGTGAGATCCTGTCTCTTAAAAAAAAAAAAAGATTTGTTAAATATTAAAAACTGGCTGAATGTGGTGGCTTATGCCTGTAATCCCAGCACTTTGGGAGGCCAAGTTGGGCAGATCACCTGAGGTCAGGAGTTCAAGACCAGCCTGACCAACATGGTGAAACCCCGTCTCTACTAAGAATTTAAAAATTAGCTGTGTGTGGTGGTGCATGCCTGCAGTCCTAGCTACTTGGGAGGCTGAGGCAGGAGAATCTCTTGAATCTGGAAGATGGAGTTTGCAGTGAGCCGAAATCACACCACTGCACTCCAGCCTGGGTGACAGAGCGAGACTCTGTCTCAAAAAACAAAAACAAAAACTGAAAACTAAAACTGGGGCTTTCTCGCTGAAAACGTGCTGGTCTCACTTGAATTTTGCATCGTGTTCTTCCTTCCCTGTTTTCTTCCTTACCCGCTCCCCTGCTGATACAATTGGTTTCCTTCTACCTCCTCTCCTTTTAACCTATCTTTTGAGATTTTTTTTTTAAAAAAACAAACCTCTTAAGTATACCTCTTGAAATCCTAAATTTTCATTTCAGCTGAAAGTCATCCAAACCATATGCATTTCAGTTGAATACTCCTGCAATTGGCCTCACTCTGCCAAAGACCTTTTTTTTTTTTTTCTATAACTGACCGAGTTTCTTTAGAATAGGCTGGAATCATATTTGGTTCCTCTGAGATCTTTTGAGGGATCACCATCACCAAGTTCCAGGTTGTTCGTTCATGCAGTACGATATGGTTGCTTCATTCTGTTAACTTGGGAGTATTTCTCTTCCAGAATTGCTTGCTCTTCCTTCTTTCTTTATGCTTTTTCCTTTTACTCTCCCTCCCCTTTGCTCTTCTCTCAGGTAGACTCTGCCTGGTTTGTCACTCTGTCCTGTGTTTCCCTCTCTCCTGAACACTGATCTCCTGAGAAGATCAGGCGGGCAGGTGAGTGGCTGCCACACAGCCTCCGTGCTACAGAGGAATAGCCAACATTTCCCTCGGAGACAGCTGTTTTCCATTTCAAGAGTATCAACATTGTGGCTTTGTTGATTGTCTTTTCACCTCCAGGTTTGGCCTTGTTTGTAGCTGAAACATAAGTATTTTCCCTAAGCCCTTCAGGGCCACTGCTCCGGCTCTGTCAGCAGCAAGCTCTGCGTGTGTGTGCATCCTGCCACACAGACGCCACCGGAGTCCCCATCAGCCACACACCCTCCAACCCAGGGGAGAGATTAAGGCAATTGTGCTAAGGCCCACTGGTGAGGAAAATTGGCCGATCAAATTATTACTAAATGGCTTTTCCAATCTTCTCATTACTCTGTGAGAAAGGAGTGATTTCTGCAGCTTGTCAGAGCCTGGTCCCTTGTTCAGAGATAATACCAAATCCACAAAAATCCTGTGAATGGAGAGGTTTGGTGGCTATACCTTGGAAACAAGCCACAGGACCTAATTCAGCAGGGCTGCCCCTTGGTGCAGAATGCAACCAATTCTTGCCTGTTTTAAGTGAAAACATCCCAGGATGGGAAAGTATATTCTGAGAGTGGAATGCTTTGTAGTTACTGGTACTTAAGGGGCGGGAGGGAGTGTTAATAAATGGTCGTGCTGCTTAAAATTTCCCCGTCTGTTCCCAGGTGACTTCTCCTTAGGGAGCTCCGTGACAAAGATCATTAATATGTTTCCTGTAAGTAAATGAATCAAAGGGAAGCTTTGCTGTCTGCACTGTTTACCACACTAGGGTGTCCACTTATTAACTCTTTGATAGTTACAATGACCGTAGAATCTTTATATATAATATATACATATATATTTACATACATACCCACAAAGACATATGTATATATCGCACATATATCACATATATATAAAGTCTACATGTATATTTCTATTTGTCTGCATTTTCTTTTTAAGAGTCAGGGTGTTGTTCTGATGCCCAGGCTGGGGTACAGTGTTGTGATCATAGCTCACTGTAGCCTTGAACTCCTGGGCTTAAGCAATCCTCCCTTCTCTGTCTCCTGAGTAGCTGGGACTACAGGCATGCACCACCACAACTGGCTAACTGTATTTTACTTTTCGTAGAGATGGGATCTTGCTGTGTTGCCCAGGCTGATCTTGAACTCCTGGGCTCAAGTGACCCGCCTGCCTTGCCCTCCTCAAATGCTGGGATTATAGGTGTGAGTCACCATGCCTGGCCTGTCTGCATATTTTACCTGGATCTGCAAATACCTGTGTGACTGTGGATAGGTCACTTGGTGTGTCTGTGCCTCAGTTTACCCATTTGTATATGAAGGAGTCAGACTAGCTGGGGTGCTTGGAAGTGGAGTGCTTAGTGGTGAGGTGCTTCTGCTTCCCACGAGATCACTGTGTTCCATTTCCCTTCTCCAGCACAGTTCTGGTCACATGGTTGGCTCTCAGTGCAAAGTAATGTACCAGTGCATGATAGGAAACACATGATTCCTGAGGTTATGTCCAGTGCTAACACTCTGTGATTCTCTTGTTTTTAGACAATTTGGCCAGGAAGTGGCTGGCAGTGGAAGGAGGAAAATAATCAGCACATCTGCATGTGAGCCCATCTCAGACACAAACTGTGAATCACAACTCACTTGGCTTCATAACCAAGACCTGCTCTAAGGAATTTCATCTCTTCCTTGGAGACCTTGATTGGCCTGCTAGGTAAAAGGCAAGGGACAGATTTAATCTAGCTTGACTTTAGCAAGACTTTTGACTCAGTCTTGGTCAACATACTTATCAACAAACCTTGGTCGAGGCCCTTTTGCCTCTCACCCAGTTTGCTTATTCACCCCATCTGACACATCTTGCATATGGCTGCCAACTTAAACCTCTTAAATGTCACTCTCTTTAAAAGCCAGACATGGCTCTCAGTGGTCTTTCTGATGATTTCAAAGACCCTCACCTTGGAATTCAGGCTTTATTGGGTTTTCTGCCACCTCTTCCTTCAAACGTTATTTCTAGGAGTCTCCCACAGACCTGTCTCTCAAATGAGAAGAGTCTTCTAGTTGCTTTTTCCCTCCCAGAGGTGCCTCCACCACACCCTATGCTTGTTCTTGTTCCAGATAAACCTGGAATACTTTCTGATGCAAAGCCAGCAATTCCTTCCTGCATCCTGATCCATGCTTTAAAGCCCACATCAAGACTTGTCTCCTTTGGCTGGGCACAGCGGCTCATGCTTCTAATCCCAGCACTTTGGGAGGCCAAGGTGGGAGAATAGCCTAAGCCCAGGAGTTCAAGACCAGCCCAGGCAGCATAGCAAGATCCCATCTCCCCCAAAATAATAATAAAAACCATTAGCTGGGCATGGTGGTATATGCCTGTAGTCCCAGCTACCTGGGAGGCTGAGGAGGGAGGATCACTTGAGCCACAGAGTTCGAGGTTGCAGTGAGCTATGATTGCACCACTGCAGTCCAGCCTGGGTGGCAGAGTGAGTGAAAGAATGAGAACCTATCTCAACAACAGCAGTAACAACAAAGGACCTGTCTCCGCCATTAAGGTTTCCTGGTGAGCTGTTTTGGAGGGATCTCTCCTTCTCTGGTTTTCTGAATCGCTGTAGACTATAGATACTATCCTGCCCTTGTTCCTTTGTTCGTACTGGGCATTTCACTAAATTCTTGGAGGAGTCTGAGAGAACTTAGGGGGCACTTGCAGAACCCAAGGGTGTGAAAAAAAGGCTGGAAACCAAGATTGCTGGGAAGGTTCAGAGGAGGTAGAGATACTTCATTTGAAGGAGACCACATGCAAGGTAATGATACAGGGGGCAGAAAGAAATTAGTTAGGCAGAGAGTGAGGGCAACAGAGTCCTTGGCAGAGCTTCCCTTTTAACAAAAAAGCAGCCCAAGAAATTATTTTTTTCTAACGAAAAGCAGCCTGAAAAATCCAGCTGCAAATATAGATAAGCAAGCTAGAAGCTTGCATGGGGGAATGCCGGCAGCTGTGCCAATAGAAAAGGGCTACCTGGGGACCAGGAATATCCAACGTGGAAGCTCCATCTTCCCTTTTTTTTTGTTACCACGTGTACAGTAAAGGAATGGGCAACATGGTGCAGGCCAGGCATAATAAAAGATTAGGGTGGGGGCGGCCAGAAATTCGTACCCTATGCAAATGGCACACCTGGTCCAACCAGTCTTTTGCGCCCTATGTAAATGAGGCAGCGCCTCCTCACCAGCTCAGCTATAAAATCCCTGCATTTCACTGCAGAACTGGCAACCCATTTCTCTGGGACCCCTCTTTCCATCAGAGAGCTATTCCCTTTCTTTTGCTTATTAAACTTCTGCTCTTAACCTCACTCTTTGAGCATCCGCGTCCTTCTTCTCCTTGGCTGTGAGACCACCAACCTTGTGAAATACCCCAGACAACGAAGCCATTTCTGTAATTTCACAAGAATCTAAGTGTATAATTACACATCGAGTCTACATCATCACTGACAGTGAGTCAAGGAAAATAGAAATCGTTGGTTTACCAGGGGAGGCGCTGAAACGTCCTTTACTCTGTCGTATCTTTAAGGTTGCTGAAGTTCTCATTTACTTGTAGTGGTTTAGGAGAAGCATTGATCAGAGACAGAAGTTTGAAAACGTGCCCTACCTCAATCCGACTTAGGCCAAAGGCTTAATGCTTTTAAAGTAACTCTGACAGACATTTGACTTGGTAAAGTAAAAATTAAGTTAAAAATAAATTATCAAGTGAAACATACTGGTGATATTTCACTAGATAAATTAAGTTTAAAAAATAAATTATAAATATACTGATACTTAGAAACCAATTTCATAATTCCATGAAAATTATCCTATATTTCTCTCAAGCTAAGGACTGACAACAATATTAGAATTTGCTTGGTTGGCTGGGTACAGTGGCTCACGCCTGTAATCCCAGCACTTTGGGAGGCTGAGGCGGGTGGATCTCGAGGTCAGGAGATAGAGACCATCCTGGCCAACATGGTGAAACCCCGTCTCTACTAAAAATACAAAAATTAGCTGGGTGTAGTGGCATGCACCCGTAGTCCCAGCTACTCGGGAGGCTGAGGCAGGAGAATCACTTAAACCCAGGAGGCAGAGTTTGCAGTGAGCTGAGATTGTGTCACTGCACTTTAGCCTGGGCGACAGAGCAAGACTTCATCTCAAAAAAAATATTGCTTGGTTAATAGATCTTATCTATAAATATTGCCAGATACGGTGGCTCATGACTGTAAATCCCAGCACTTCGGGAGGCCGAGGCTGGTGGACCACCTGAGGCCAGGAGTTTGAGACCAGCCTGGGCAACACAGTGAAACCCCATCTCTACCAGATATACAAAAATTAGTCTGGCATGGTGGCGTGCACCTGTAACCCCAGCTACGCACGAGGCTGGGACACGAGAATTGCTTGAGCCCAGGAGGCAGAGGTTGCAGTGAGCCAAGATCTCATCACAGTGTTACAGCCAAAGGAGACAGAATGAGACTCCATCTCAAAACAAAACGAACAAATATGTAGTTACTCATGCTATTAGTTACAAAAATAGACAATAGAGGTAGAAGCACTCTGACAAAGTTAAGAAGACCTCCAAAAGAGAGACAGTTTTATTCTTAGAAAGCACCTTTTTTTTTTTTGTCTTTCTTTTTTTCTAATGTAATTCTCAGGTAAATGACAGCCAACCTTCCTAACTAGGGGGTAAGTTTGGCTCAAACAAGGGATGAACCATTGCCCTCCCTCTGTCTTAAGACTTACTGAATGAAATCTCCTATTTCTGGCAGGGATCACTCATCTTTTATTGGATTCTTGAGTAAAGTTTTTTTTTAATCTCAGTTACTTGGCCTTTTTTTTTTTTGTTTGTTTTATAGGGAGTCTACTCTGAGATCAAAGACAGCCTATAGCAATTTATGAGAAATGAAGGAAGTGGGAGAGAGATGCTAAGTTACTTTAAGGGCTGTTCTGAAATCATGAATCTAGCTGGAATAGCTGGTGTCTGCTGTGTCCAGAAGAGCTGGGACAAGTTACCGCTTTTTGGTGTAGGGAGAGGGACATGAGAGCTTGCTCTTTGGAACACTGGCCTTCATGTCAAGTCTGATGCGTGCTTCCTAATGCTGAATGAGCTTCAGGGTCACCTGGGTTTCTTTTAACTTAAAATGTATTTTTTAATTTTTGTGGGCATGTAGTAGGTATGTATATTTTTAGGGTCTGTGAGATGTTTGGATACAGGCAGGCAATTAATGGAGGGTATCCATCCCCGCAAACATTTATCCTGTGTGTTACAAAGAAGCCAATTACACTATTTTAGTTATTTTAAAATATACATTAAGTTTCTCTTGACTATAGTCCCGCTGTTGTGCAATCAAACAGTATGTCTTACTCATTTTTTCTATTTTTTTGGTACTCATTAACCGTCACTACCTCCCTTCAAGCTCCCTACCCCATTTTCTTGCTCTGTTGACCAGGCTAGAGTGCAGTGGCATGATCATGGCTCACTGCAGCCTTTGACTCCTGGCCTTAAGTGATCCTCCTGCCTCAGCCTCCCAAGTAGCTAGGACTATAGGTGCATGCCACCATGCCCAGCTAACTTTTTTTTTTCTTTTGAGATGAAGTCTCACTCTGTCACCCAGGCTGGAGTGTAGTAGTGTGATCTTGGCTCACTGCAACCTCTGCCTCCCTGCAACTTCCACCTCCTGGGTTCAAGCAACTCTCCTGCCTCAGCCTTTTGAGTATCTGAGATTGATTACAGGCACTTGCCACCGTGCCTGGCTAATTTTATTTTATTTTTAGTAGAGACAGGGTTTCACCATGTTGCCCAGGCTGATCTCAAACTCCTGACCTGGACCCTCCCACCTCAGCCTCTGAAAGTGCTGGGATTACAGGTATGAGCCACCATACCTGGCTACCTGGGTTTCTTTTGGATGATGCAGATGGTTGGGCCTGACTTAAATGATTGAACAGGTCCCTAGTGAGTCCAAAGCCTTTGTATCTCCAAGTGTTACAGTGTCTGGAGGCTCAAACAGCCTCAAGAACCACTGATCTAAGTGCCTGATATCTAGCAGTCTCTTTAAATCAGTCCTCTTCCCTACAAATATGCTTATAGTTTTCAAAGGACTCCTAAACAAGTCTTTGGTTAATCCTGAGTCTGGTACATTCACTGGCAAAGAACAAAGAGAAAATTTACAAACATAAGAAGGCCTCAGAAGTCGGACTACATAAATTATTTTGGAAAAGGTTTTTCCTTCTCATATGATTTTCAGAGGGACTTTGGGACACACACACACACACACACACACACAGAATCTGGGAGACAAAGTAAACAGGAAAGAAAAGATTGACTTTTATTGCTTGACAGTTTAAGTGAAAAAAAGTTTATTTCAAAAAATATTTTGACTCCCCCTTTGTTCCCTTTAGAAGTGCATGAAGCTATTTTTAGGAGGGCAGGGTGGCTGGTTTTGGGGGACGAATGAAAGCATGATATCACCATGCTATTTTGGTAGAGAGAGCAAGAAGAGAAACATACCAGGTTAGGTCCACTTGGGCTTGGTTCTGTGTGTTTAGGAGCTGAATTGCGTCTTTTTCTAATTTGGCTTCCTTCAGAGCTGTGGCTCTTCCCTGAAGACTGGAAGCATAATATTTATTCAAAGCTAATTTGTAAACTTCATCTTCAGTTCAAGGTCTGGAATCGAAACTGCTATTGTGATCGTAAGGGCTGTAACCAGGAGAATCTGGTTCTTCCTGGGGTATTTCAGCAGGGATCAGGTTTGCAGACTTTTTCTCCAGGGCCCCAGTGAGAAACCTGGCTGCCTCCCTATTTTAGGTTAACTGTGGGGTATCAGTTTGGAAAGCAAATGCTTAACCTGAAGTTTTTGTTGCTAATAAGGGCTTTGCAGCTAGCAAAGAGGTAGCTTTCTCATTTATTTAGATTTTGCAGTGGAATTTCTCCCTGCACGTGTATTATTGTCAGCAACTCTTATTTTCCCCAGAGAGGTTTTGATACATTCCTTCTGTGTTCATATGTTTGTAACTTTTCTCAAGTGGAGCTCTTCCTTCCTAAAAATCATTCAGCTTGTTAGAGAAGTCACCCCTACCTCCCATCCCTGGAGACAAAAGTACACCTTTGTGTGCATCTGTTAGGCCTAGAATGTCTCAGATGGTTGTTTTCTAAACTAACTCACTGATAGCTTAATCATTAGAAGCAGCATTTTACTCCCATGTTCCTATTTATGGGTCTCTGATGGTTATTTTCTTGGCAGGCCTCAGATAAGCCTGGGTCAAGGAAACAGCTTACATTCGTCTCTTTAAGTCTCACTCATCCTTGCCATATCATTTCATGATTTCCTTTCCTGCTATCTTCAAACATCCCTTCAAAGCAGAAATTGACAAGAGTGAGGAGGTTGGGAAAGCACTGGCAAGGCAGTTGTTTTTCTTCGGTTCTAAAATGGATGTTTTCCTTTCCCCCACAGCCCCCACTCCTACCCTACTCCCAACCTTTCTTTTATATTACCCACCCCTGTGTCTCTCTCTAAAGATGATGGAAAAAAGTTAAGAACTCCTTTCCCTCTTTAAAGAAGGGTCTCTGAGAGGTTTCTAATCAGCTCACTGTCAGCCTGTTTCCTCTGATCAGCTTAAATGGGTCCACTTGAAGTTCACAACTGCCAAAACCGTGTTCAGACTGAAAGGCTGGGAGCATTTGAGACGCATTTGTGAACTTCCACCAAGATTATCCAGCAGGCTGAAATCACAGGGAGAGTGTCTGTTCAACAAACCCTTTCTTCTTGATTAAATCAGTGTTGCCCGCTAACAGGATGAGGAATTCCCATTCCACAAGCTGATTTCCCCCCCTATTTCTACCTTCCGCCTCCCTCCCTTAAAATGTAAACTTGATTCCTGTGTCCTTCGCTGGAGCTTGGCTTCCCTGTAAGCCGATCATAAACATCTTGGTAGAAATGAAGCTTTTAGCCTCTCCTTGATGGTTTTCTAACTTTATACATGAGGGGAAAATGGTGAAAGACGTTATCTCTGGCGGGTGCAGGCGTGTAGGGGCAGGAAGTTTCTGCACTGTGGCTGCTCTGGTCCTTTCGTAACTGAGGTTTTCCTGCCCTGTCCTTCAGCAAAGAATGGCTTTGTTAACCATTAGCCACTGACAAGAGTGTGTCCATTTCAGCAAAATTAATAAGAGATAGCATTTTTCTTCCTTCTAAATGGCCCATGTCAGTAATTAACATCGCCTTTCATTACTCAACTTGAAAGCGCCTTCTCGGCCTCCCTCTGACCTTGCCCTGGCTTTGTTAAACTGTGGCCTCCAGCCTGTGAGAGACCTAAATGCAGAAAAAGTGCTGTGACCGAGATGCCTTGAAAGAATCATTTGACAAATATTTATTGAGTGCCTACTGTGTGGGGCTACCAAGTTGAATCGGAGGTAAACTCTGATGGAGGAAAAAAAACTGGGAGAAAAGATAAAAGGAGTTTGTTTAAAATAGCCCTAAGATAACAGATAATGATGCTTACTCCAGGAGAGGAGCAGATCCGGGATGTTGTGGGGTCTGGGCTAAGAGAGATGGTGGTGGCGGGGGGGAAGTGGGTGAAAGTTTTATGGGAAAGGGGGCATTTGAGAGAAACATTATAATGTTGGAGTTCAGAGCAAAAAAAGGATATGAGAGTTCAAATGAGCTTTCCTTATCCATTAGGGAATGAGAGCAAGCGTACCTTCATAGAGAATGTATGTTCAAAACTCAAGAGAGAACTTTTCCCTTCCCTGGTCAGTTGTTTGCATGTATACCTAGCCAGCAAGGAGCTCACAGTGGAAATGTTAATAATTGCACTAGAGTCTAGTCGAGCCAGCCCCGACCCAAAAGTGTGTGAAATATTTTCCTATCATGTTTTCCCCACCAGGAGATTTCTTGGTCACGGGGATAGAAGTGTCACTTTAGAGTGAGTTGAGTTAGACTCTGCGGTCTTCATGCCTATAACCATGAACTCCATGTTTAAAATAGCCACTGGGAGAAGCCCAAATGCCGAGGAGGAAAGAATCGGTGGAAAAAATGATGGCGCAGCATTGGATGGCATCTGCTTGCAACCACGACGGTGAAGATTTTCAATGGTTTCTGAAAAAGCAAAAATGGCATATTCTCATTTTTATGAAGAATATGAATATATTCATATTGAGAAGGACAGCTTGAAGACTAAGTATTAAAATGTGAGTAATAGTCATTGGTGGATGCTGGAGAAACAAGTGATCTGTCTATTTCGTTCCTGTGATTTTCAGGATTTTCCAAAATGTTTACAATGCACAGGTGTCACTTTTGCAATCAGGTAAAATGCTATCAATGAGGCAGAGGGAAAAAAGGACTTCTTTATTAAGATGAGAACTTAAATACAGATAATTATGAAAATGTCTGGGAGAATTCTTTTCCTGGGCCACATTGAATGCCATCAGTTTTAAAACCAGAAAAACTGCACGACCCTGCAGTCAAAATGGAACATGGCCGTCTGTTTTAAGTAACAATGACTGTCATTCAATAAACTCGATACTTGTGTTGAAAATTTGTCAGTTGATGTTTTTTAGACATTCTTGCAGTGAAAGAATAATTTCTCCCTGTCTCAGCTGGAATGTAGCTCTTGTAGGTTTTGGGTTCCGAATTATTCAAGGGTCAAAAATCTACGGTAAGGTTGTCCTGATTGCTTTTTATTTTTTGTAGATTCTTTGTTATTGTATGCTTGCTCAAGCCTAAAGGTACAAAAATCTAAAGGCCAGGTATTCATCTTATGATGACCTTCACAAAATAATAGACACACATAAAGAAGTTTCTTATGCATACATGAACAACAAGAAATCTCTTTAGTTGTTATCTATTATTTCATAGTTTTCTTCTAATCAAATGGCATACATCAGGTAAGTTCTTTATTCTCAATTGGTGGTAAGTCTGCAAAGTCGCTCAAATGGTGATGCAGTTGTCTGCAGGTCCTAAGCAGAGGAAACAGCTTCTGCTTTCATTCAAATCCCAGCCTGGCTATTTGCAATAGAAAAGCTAAGTTGGATGCCAGGATGCCATGGAGGTGACAGAGAGAAGGCAGAGAAATGGGAAAAATGCAAACATGTAGTTCAGGTTAAAATCGATTTCCAGCCTCACAACATGAAAAGCAACAACCACCCCTGTGGGTTCCCTTCCCCCAGGCCTGGATTTTTTTTTTTTTTTTTGTCATCTGAGTCACTCGGAATTGTGGGGCAGAAACACATAAACAGAATGAGAGATGCTGTTTGCCGTGAGCACGCAACTTGTAAAACTGTTCGGGCCTTGAAAGAAGATTCCTTCCTTTTCTCTTTCCAAAGACTCAAAAAGAAAGAAAGAAACTCAAGAAAATACTTCTGTCTTTGCGGTGAAGGGATTCACGTCCTGTCTGTCCTTGGCAGCCAGAAAGATCTTAGTCACTGGCTGAGAAGTCAGAAGTGACTTAGGGAGAGAAGCGCTGCCCCAGAGTGGAAAGGCTGGTGGTCAGCAGGTGATAGATAGCATGTTGTCCATTGAATCTAGGGTGGGGGCGGGAGTGGGGAGCGGGGAGGGACGAGGGGAGCGGAACTGATGACCTTGACCTTGGGAGTCTCAGGAATTTGAAGGAACAACCCCCCTTGAATCTGTTTTGTACCAACTAGTGTCCCAGATACTTAGAAATATTTTCCTCTCTTGCCTTGCTTCCTGGGAGTTTATAGGAAACCCGAGTTTAAAACAAAAACGTGATATTTCCAATACTACCTAGCAACATGCAGCAGTAAGAGAGAATAAGGTAAGTGGCTGGGTGCGGTGGCTAATGCCTGTAATCCCAGCACTTTGTGAGGCAGATGTGGGCAGATTACTTGAGCTCAGGAGTTTGACCAGCCTGGCCAACATGGTGAAACTCCATCTCTACAAAAATACAAAAAATTAGCCAGGCATGATGGTGTTTGCTTGTAATCCCAGCTACTTGGGAGACTGAGGCAGGAGAATCGCTTGAATTCTGGGATGTGGAGGTTGTAGTAAGCTGAGATTGTGCCACTGCACTGCAGCCTGGGCAACATGCACATGCGCGTGCACGAGGGAGGGAGGGGGGGAGAGAGAGAGAGAGAGAGAGAAACTAATATGATCCACCCACCTTGGCCTCATCACTTAAGGTCAGGAGTTCGAGACCAGCTTGGCCAACATGGTGAAACCCCGTTTCTACAGAAATAAAAAACATTAGCCAGGCATGGTGGTGTACGCTTGTAATCCCAGCTACTTGCGAGGCTGAGGCAGGAGAATCGCTTGAACTCCAGGAGGCAGAGGTTGCAGTGAACTGAGATTGCACCACTGCACTCCAGCCTGGGCAACAAAAGAGAGAGACAGAGAGAGAGATACTAAGGTAGCCCTATAGTGCTGACATGGAAAGATTCATAACACATTTTTTTATGTGAGAAAGTAAGCGTGGAGCAATACATGCAGTTTGATACTATTTCCATACCTCTCGTGTGTGTGTCTGCTTGTGTATGTATACATGCACGTGTATAACTGCATAGAAAAAAGTCCAAAATTTACACACCAAACTGTAATAGTACTTTCCATGGGGGTATGTGTTGTGACTGGGGCCGGGGGAAGGAGGAGGTGAAAGTGGCTCTTATTTTTGTAGTCAATATGCTTCTGTATTGTATGAAAATGTAAAAGAATATGCTCATTGTTACTTAAGTTATTAAACATTGTTTTTAAAAGCCAATGTATCAAGAGCTGGTACATTTCTCATAAAGAAGACATTTTACCCAAATTTAGTTAATGTAAAAAGGTTTAATGCAGTGAAATAAATAAAATACGATCAACAGTCTCAGGTAAAATATTTGCAAGATAAGTGATTGACAAAGATTATTGTTCATAATATGTAAGGCGCTCATACAAATAAATAAAAATGGGAAAAGGTAGAAAGATGGGTAAAAATTGAAACAGTCAAGTGAATTCAGGAATTCATCATCATTGGGATAAATGGAGTCTTTGTTCGGCCTTCTTTTTTGAAAGGATTTATTTTCTTAAACCTTGTAATCTCTGATCCGTCTTTGCCTAGCCATCCCACCCTGGGACCCTTCTTTCTTTTTAATTTCAGTAAGGAAAGCTCCTAGGAGATGTATTAATGGTCTCTGAAGCGGTGGAAGGATCGGGGGTGGGGACAGTCTTCAGTCCTTGACCCATAACTCCCATTTAGCTATAGATTTATGTCTTTGCTATCCAAGCTGAGATTTTAAAACGAAGTTCTTCCCCCTCCACTGCTCTCTCAAGGTGATGTAATCGTACAAAGAGGTCAGCTAGGGAAAGGATTTGGTTAACTCACACCAGGACAGTTAGTTCCTGCATGATTGAAAGCTGGCTAGTTGGATTTCATTCAAAGGTAATGACCACATTTCCTTTAAAAGAAAATAGCAAAATGTTGTGTTTGGTGGCCTGGTGCATAAATCAACATCCGACAACCCCCCTTCCCCAAAATGTATAATGCTCACAAAATGAGACACATTTGTAGGCCTCTTGGGTATCTTTGTTTGAATGACCCTTTTTTTTCCCTCCTGACCTGCACTCTCCACACTGTATATCAATCCCAAAGACTTTATTTCCTCTCCCTCTTCCCACCTCTTTAAGAAATTTATTTGTGCTTCACTTATTTCATATAATCCCCTGCTTCTGTGCCTGAAGCAGAAGAAAGAGTTTAGTGTCTAAAAAATAGACCTTGAGCAAGACAACTCCTAAACAAACTCCCATCTCTTCTGCCAGCCCAAGGAGTGTTTCTCTTACAGTTTACACAAGAAGTCTTTTTTTTTTTTGATATTGGATATCAAGTCGTTGATTTGATATCCAGTAAAGTCACATTTGATTTATTTCCTTCTGAAAATGCTTACCCAATAGGCTTTCCAATGCATTTTTAAATGAACACTTTTGCTGGAGTCTGTATGTGTGTATGTGTGCACATGTAAGAGGAAAAATTCCTTTAAACATGTTGAAATACCTGTTACAGCTTTAGGGGATCTGTGTACAGATGCCTTGTTATATCAATTGTATATTACAGAGAAAACTATTTTTATTATGTTCAAATGAAGACCTATACAGTGGATAGCTCTGTCAACTTAAAAGGGAGAAGCTGAGGCAAAACTGATATAAGTAGATACATAATTTGGGTCAAGCTTGAGGATTGCAAGCCAGGAGCATAGATTCAAGTTGCCCTGAACATATGCTCTGATTAGCAGCAGTTACAAGTAGACTTTTAAAGGGTGGGGGGGAAAAAAACCAACCACCTGTAATCGCAGCACTTTGGGAGGCCAAGGTGGGCGGATCACGAGTTCAAGAGATCCAGATCATCCTGGTCAACATGGTGAGTGAAATTTCTTTTGCTTTCAACTTAGAGAACTCTGATGAATGCAGTCCATTTTATGTTTTTACTGATCATTCTATTGATTAAATGGGTTGTTGCATTGTACTTCAAAGCTGATTCACACATGGTAGACACAAGGCTTATATAAGGGAAAGGTAGCACAACGGAATAGGATGGACCTCTAATCAAAGGGAACGGTTATGGACATAGTTTTGTTTCCATCTTAACAGACAGATTCCAAGGAAGAGAAACCCACTGAAGTGAGCAAAGGAAAAGGGCTTTCTTTATTGATAGGCTGCAGGGGGATATCCCTGAATCTGATTTTAGGAAGAAGGGCTGGACCCTGTGAGGTCTGGACCTGAATATCAAGCTGTCAGGAGCTGAGGCATCACTCCAAGGTCACATGCGCTTTCATCTTAGAGACAACTTGTTTCTTCCAGAGGCTGTGGCCAAAAAAACCTAACTGTCCTTACCGACTCTCTTGGGGTCCTTACTGGACCACGGGTCTTTTTTGTATGAGCTGCCTCCTTTTGCCTTCAGATCTGCAATCTAGAAAATGCTAAAGCGATGCTGTGTCATGCATAGCCTTCCTGGAATAAGACCATGCTGCACCCTCTGAGGAAGTGGGGCCATCTCCCTATTTTAGTGACAGCAAATCCATCCATTTAGAAGCACAGGGCCTTGGAGTCCCACTTCTTCCAGCCTTTCCCTCACACTTCACATTCAATCCAAAAAAATTCCACTGACTCTCCCTCTAAAATGCACCCAGAGTTCTACCACATCCCATAACCACCAGTGGAGCATCCTGGTCCCAAACCCCAGCACCTCTGACTGTCTTATTGCAAGTGTCCTAGCTGCCCTCTCCATCTTCTTCTGTGGCCTCCCCTACCATCAGAAGGGGCTTGTGAAAATATCAGGTCCTGTCAATCCATGGCTCAACCTCATCAGTGACTTCCAAGGACTTTATGATCTCCTCTCCTTCCTGTTCCGGCCCCATGGTCTCCTACCATTTCTCTATTGCATCAGGTATCCCTGACCTCAGGACTTTGCACCTTGCTCCCTCTGCTTGGAATGCTGGCCTCCACATTTTCATGTGGCCATGCTCCCTTTCTTCAAGTCTTTAATTGGAAGTCATCTTCCTGAGCCACCCTATTGTGGAGTCTCCTCATTCATCCCCCTTTCATCTTTTTCCAAGTGAAAGAGCTACTAATGGCCTGGACAGAGATGACGGTGGGGAGAAGATGGCTTCTGTAATGGTTGAGTGGGACTCAGTATCCACAATGGCAGGCTTTTGCAGCTTTGCTGTTGCAATGATGGGGT